CACTTACAAACTAGACCCACTTGTTAGGATTCATGTTAACACACACAAATGATGGATTAGACCTAACTGCAACGAATTGCCCCAATATACCGTGTTTTGTGCAACAAACCTGTAAAATAGGTGTTTTGTGCAACCCTAACACCAAAATTAGGTGGTTTATACAATTTTCTCTGCCATACGTGTGGGTGCTATCATTTAGGTATGCTTAACATGAATCTTTTAAATTGGATTAATTATTTGACTAGTGTTTTTGTTGCTCGTAGCAAGCATCGACTCAGTCAGAAGAAACTATGACCGAAATTGCCCCCGCCCCCTATTCCCCCTCTTCACCCACACACTCCCTATCCATCCGCTCACAGCTCGCCCACTCCCTACCCATCTCGCCGACGCGCAGGCGGCGCCGTCCCAACATGGGATGACGTCCGCCGCAAAATAGTGTATTCCTACTTCACTTCAAGTCCAGCCTCGAGTACGTGATGCCTATACTGCAACTTGCGATGTATTTGAATAATAAAACCACATGGCAGTAATATTTTGGTGTGTGAGACTTGATGATGTTTGTAATGGCCATATGGCGACTACTTGGATGGTAAAGCCCGATGGCAACAATATCTTCCATGTTTTGGTGCTACTGATCTTATTTTATGAATATTGTGGCTATTTATGAATCTTTTTAGATTTGTCTAGCAATCTTATGTTTTGTCATTCGAAAGTTTGTGGTGTGGTACTAGTTAGATGTAACAAGTGATGAATCTAGAAAGTTTTAGCTGATTTGGATCACATTATAATGAGATATTGGAGTTTATATTGGCTCATATATATTTTTACTCAAAATTTAAAATTTTCAAAAGAAATGCGAATCAATTTCAGTAAATCACACCTGTATCCAATACTATTCTGAAAAAACACAACTCATTTGGACCAATAGTTTGTAAGATATTTGCAACGTTAGTTGGCTCCGTTCAATTTTTTTGCTCAAATTAATATTTTTTTAAATGAAAAAATAACTCTCAATAAATCATACATGCACTCACTAATATTCTAGGAAAAATTCAGCTCAATTCGAGCAAAGGATTGTGAGATATTGAGAGTTCTAGTTGGTTGTTGATGCGACTGGTTTTTGCCACCGGTGCACTTACACACTAGACCTACTTGTCAAGAATCATGTTAACACACACAAATGATGGATTAGACCTAACTGCAACGAATTGCCCCAATATATGATGTTTTGTGCCAGAAACCTGTAAAATAGGTGTTTTGTGCAACCCTAACACCAAAAATAAGTGGCTTGTATAATTTTCTCTGCCATACGTGTGGGTGCTATCATTTAGATATGCTTAACATGAATCTTTTAAATTGGATTAGTTATTTGACTAGTATTTTTGTTGCTCGTAGCAAGCATCGACTCAGTCAGAAGAAACAATGACCGAAATTGCCCCCGCCCCCTATTCCCGCTCTTCACCCACACACTCCCTATCCACCCGCTCACAGCTCCCCCACTCCCCACCCATCTCGCCGGTGCGCAGGCGGCACCGTCCCAACATGGGATGACGTCCACCGCAAAATAGAGCGTATTCCTACTTCACTTCAAGTCTAGCCTCGAGTACGTGATAACTATACTGCAACTTGGGATGTATTTGGATAATAAAACCACATGGCAGTAATATTTTGGTGTGTGAGACTTGATGATGTCTGTAATGGCCATATGGCGACTGCTTGGATGGTAAAGCCCGATGGCAACAATATCTTCCATGTTTTTGTGCTATTGATCTTATTTTATGAATATTGTGGCTATTTATGAATCTTTTTAGATTTGTCTAGCAATCTTACGTTTTGTCATTCGAAAGTCTGTGGTGTGGTACTAGTTAGATGTAACAAGTGATGAATCTAGAAAGTTTTAGCTAATTTGGATCACATTATAATGAGATATTGGTAGTTTATATTGGCTCATATATATTTTTACTCAAAATTTAAAATTTTCAAAACAAATGCGAAACAATTTCAGTAAATCACACCTGTATCCAATACTATTCTGAAAAAAACACAACTCATTTGGACCAATAGTTTGTAAGATATTTGCAATGTTAGTTGGCTCGTTCAATTTTTTTGCTCAAATTATTTTTTTAAATGCAAAAATAACTCCCAATAAATCATACATGCACTCACTAATATTCTAGGGAAAATTCAGCTCAATTCGAGCAAAGGATTGTGAGATATTGATAGTTCTAGTTGGTTGTTGATGTGACTAGTTTTTTGCCACCGGTGCACTTACAAACTAGACCCACTTGTCAGGAATCATGTTAACACACACAAATGATGGATTAGACCTAACTACAACGAATTGCCCCCATATACGGTGTTTTGTGCGACAAACCTGTAAAATAGGTGTTTTGTGCAACCCTAACACCAAAAATAGGTGGTTTGTACAATTTTCTCTGCCATACGTGTGGGTGCTATCATTTAGGTATTCTTAACATGAATCTTTTAAATTGGATTAATTATTTGACTAGTGTTTTTGTTGCTCATAGCAAGCATCGACTCAGTTAGAAGAAACAATGACCGAAATTGCCCCCGCCCCCTATTCCCCCTCTTCACCCACACACTCCCTATCCATCCGCTCACAGCTCCCCCACTCCCCACCCATCTCGCCGGCGTGCACGCGGCGCCGTCCCAACATGGGATGACGTCCACCGCAAAATAGAGTGTATTCCTACTTCACTTCAAGTCCAGCCTCGAGTACGTGATGCCTATACTGCAACTTGGGATGTATTTGGATAATAAAACCACATGGCAGTAATATTTTGGTGTGTGAGACTTGATGATGTCTGTAATGGCCATATGGCGACTACTTGGATGGTAAAGCCCGATGGCAATAATATCTTCCATGTTTTGGTGCTACTGATCTTATTTTATGAATATTGTGGCTATTTATGAATCTTTTTAGATTTGTCTAGCAATCTTATGTTTTGTCATTCAAAAGTTTGTGGTGTGGTACTAGTTAGATGTAACAAGTGATGAATCTAGAAAGTTTTAGCTGATTTGGATCACATTATAATGAGATATTGGTAGTTTATATTGGCTCATATATATTTTTACTCAAAATTTAAAATTTTCAAAAGAAATGCGAAACAATTTCAGTAAATCACACCTGTATCCAATACTATTCTGAAAAAAACACATTCATTTGGACCAATAGTTTGTAAGATATTTGCAACGTTAGTTGCCTCGTTCAATTTTTTTTTGCTCAAATTAATATTATTTTAAATGCAAAAATAACTCCAATAAATCATACATGCAGTCACTAATATTCTAGGGAAAATTCAGCTCAATTCGAGCAAAGGATTGTGAAATATTGATAGTTCTAGTTGGTTGTTGATGTGACTGGTTTTTTGCCACCGGTGCACTTACAAACTAGACCCACTTGTTAGGATTCATGTTAACACACACAAATGATGGATTAGACCTAACTGCAACGAATTGCCCCAATATACCGTGTTTTGTGCAACAAACCTGTAAAATAGGTGGTTTGTGCAACCCTAACACCAAAATTAGGTGGTTTATACAATTTTCTCTGCCATACGTGTGGGTGCTATCATTTAGGTATGCTTAACATGAATCTTTTAAATTGGATTAATTATTTGACTAGTGTTTTTGTTGCTCGTAGCAAGCATCGACTCAGTCAGAAGAAACTATGACCGAAATTGCCCCCGCCCCCTATTCCCCCTCTTCACCCACACACTCCCTATCCATCCGCTCACAGCTCGCCCACTCCCTACCCATCTCGCCGACGCGCAGGCGGCGCCGTCCCAACATGGGATGACGTCCGCCGCAAAATAGTGTATTCCTACTTCACTTCAAGTCCAGCCTCGAGTACGTGATGCCTATACTGCAACTTGCGATGTATTTGAATAATAAAACCACATGGCAGTAATATTTTGGTGTGTGAGACTTGATGATGTTTGTAATGGCCATATGGCGACTACTTGGATGGTAAAGCCCGATGGCAACAATATCTTCCATGTTTTGGTGCTACTGATCTTATTTTATGAATATTGTGGCTATTTATGAATCTTTTTAGATTTGTCTAGCAATCTTATGTTTTGTCATTCGAAAGTTTGTGGTGTGGTACTAGTTAGATGTAACAAGTGATGAATCTAGAAAGTTTTAGCTGATTTGGATCACATTATAATGAGATATTGGAGTTTATATTGGCTCATATATATTTTTACTCAAAATTTAAAATTTTCAAAAGAAATGCGAATCAATTTCAGTAAATCACACCTGTATCCAATACTATTCTGAAAAAACACAACTCATTTGGACCAATAGTTTGTAAGATATTTGCAACGTTAGTTGGCTCCGTTCAATTTTTTTGCTCAAATTAATATTTTTTTAAATGAAAAAATAACTCTCAATAAATCATACATGCACTCACTAATATTCTAGGAAAAATTCAGCTCAATTCGAGCAAAGGATTGTGAGATATTGAGAGTTCTAGTTGGTTGTTGATGCGACTGGTTTTTGCCACCGGTGCACTTACACACTAGACCTACTTGTCAAGAATCATGTTAACACACACAAATGATGGATTAGACCTAACTGCAACGAATTGCCCCAATATATGATGTTTTGTGCCAGAAACCTGTAAAATAGGTGTTTTGTGCAACCCTAACACCAAAAATAAGTGGCTTGTATAATTTTCTCTGCCATACGTGTGGGTGCTATCATTTAGATATGCTTAACATGAATCTTTTAAATTGGATTAGTTATTTGACTAGTATTTTTGTTGCTCGTAGCAAGCATCGACTCAGTCAGAAGAAACAATGACCGAAATTGCCCCCGCCCCCTATTCCCCCTCTTCACCCACACACTCCCTATCCATCCGCTCACAGCTCCCCCGCTCCCCACCCATCTCGCCGGCGCGCAGGCGGCGCGCCCCTCCCCGACCAATCAAAGCCCCGATTAGCCACCCACATCGAACACCACCCACATCGAACACCATGAAGGCGTCTATCAAGTTCCGCGACGACGACCGGCCGCTGATGCGGGCCAAGGTGCCGATCGGCGTGCTCGGGCTGCCGTTCCAGTCCGGCCTCTCCGCTGGCGGCGATCCCCGGGAGCTCCGCTTCGATCTCTCCACCGCTTTTGCCTCCGGGCCAGCTCTCCGCTTATCGTATCGCCCCAACGACCCTGGTCTCCCCTTCGCCATCTCCATCCGCGCCGGTGCCGGAGCCCTCGGCTCCCCTGTCCGGGCCCCCTTCTTCCTCGCCGCCGAGTTCAACCTCCTCTCTGCCAACTCTGGATCTCCTGGCTTCTTCCTCCTCCTCAAGCCCCGCCTTGGCGATTTCTCACTTTCCCACACGCTCCGGTCGTCCACGTCTCCTCCGCCCCGTACGGTCGGGGTGGTCTCCGACGGCGAAGGGCGCGACCGCGAGGACGAGCTGAGCTACAAGGCGTTCTCGTTGAGCGGGAGCGGGTTCGCGGCGGACGTTGCCGCGGCGGGGAGGAGCGGCGGCGTCGGCGCGCTGCTGTCCGGGATGCGGTTGACCACGAGGAGCGTGCTCCCGCTCTGGGGCAGGGCGAGCATGCGGTTCAACTGGGGGATCCGCGCGCCACCGGGGCTGCAGGCAGCGTTCGCCGACGACCGCAAGGACGCGCGCGTGCCCGTCTGCAAGATGCCGCTGCTGGTCATCAACAAGATCTCCATCGAGCAGGCGCCACACGCCGACAAGAAGAAAGACAGCAAAGCAGATGTAGATGTCTCGCTGCCTGCCATCGACGCCACGGACGCGTTGGATAGAGCGGGTCACGCCGCCGACGGCGAGGGGTTCTCACTGATGAGGCGGCAACTGGAGGCGATGAACGCGGAGAGCGGGATGCTCCGCCGCGCCGTGGACGAGCTGCGCACCGAGATCGGGCGCGGCAGGGCCGCGTCCGTGGCAGCGGTAGGGAGGCCGCCGCCACAGCCGCATCACGGGTTCTCGGTGAAGCCGGATCGTCGGGGCGGTGGGAAGGAGCCAGCGGCGGAGAACTCAGCGATGCCAGCGCCGGACGAGGTGGGGGAGGAGTTGAAGAGGGCACTGGAGGCGCGCCGGAGATGAAAGCTGCCAGAGCTACGCAGCAGATCTCACTCTTGGTTGCTGCAGTACTGATTTTTCGATTTTGGACTGATAAGAACAGAGCAATTCAATACAGTAGCATTGGCGACCTAGAAATCTGGAGCTATGTACAGTAGTAGTCTGCCTTCTTCTATATACCACTATAGTGTATGAGTGTACGGAAATCCCTTTTGGACCTCGGGTTCTGGTGACTGGTGAGGCCTCCAAATTCACAATGCGTACCTGCGTGCATGTGTATCTTTTATTCTGCGTACAGATTTAATATCATGTACAGATCATAAATCATTTATAGTGGTAACATAGATGCCTTTATTTATTACTTTGTAGACTCATTTTACATTAGGAAGTGTTATGTGAGGGTAACATATTATGTTACTCGATTTGCCTCTCTTCTCATTAACTACTTGTCACCTTACCATTTTTGCTTATGTGACATTTATGTTAATACCTATGTTTTTTTTTCGGGGAAAAGGAAATTTTTCATTACTCAAGGAGGCTTCTCAGCCGCACAAAGGTTTACAACAAAGTCCATCCCAGAGTACAACCACACTGCAGTGCGTGGGGTGCTTCGGCCATACACGGCCAGCTCATGGCTAACTTTATTCTGTGATCGTCTACAATGACTAAATAAGATCTCCCTCTTCGCCGACGTGGCTAGGCTCCGTATCTCCTCCACGAGAGTACGATGCTGCGATCGATCCACCACATGTGTTGTGAGCATACGTACCACTTCAACACTATCCAGCTCCACCAAAATGGGCAGGCTAGTCCGATGCACCGCCAGGTCCAATCCCTGTCTGCATGCAAGCAGTTCCGCCTCAAGACTGTTCTCGCATGTGCGTACTTCCCTGCATGAACTAAACATGATCTCTCCTCCTTCATCTCTGAGAATATGCCACCTCTAGCAGCACCTGTCGACGGGACATAGCTCCCATCGGTGTTTAGCTTCGTCCAACCCGGCCTTGGGGCAATCCACCGCAGCTCCTGTTGCGAGGTGGCACTCGGGGCTGTAGCCGGCCGGGTCACCTGCAGCACCATCTTCCCCCTCTCCATATCACCATGTGGGTATTGATGAATGCATAACAACGAGCTTATATACCCTTGAAGAAAGCGGCGAGAGACTTCTGTGGGTGGTGGCCTCTTCCCATGTTAATCTCATTGCGGACGTACCAGGATCGCCACATGGTCATGAGGACCACCATCTGTGTCGTATCATCCAGGGGGTCCAGGAGAGTAAACAGCCACTCCGGCCCACTATTACATATTGCTTCAAGCTTTGGGATGGGCCAATCCACCTCCATGGCACGCCACAAATCTGTAGCTAGTGGGCATGTGCAAAGCGCATGGAACCCATCCTCTCGTTCCACACCACAAAGGGGACAGATGTTAGTAAGCACAAGATGACGAGAAAGTTTGTTGGCCCATGTAGCCAATGAGTTGGTCACCACTTTCCATGCAAACACACGTACCTTAGGGGGAGCAGGGCACCCTGAAAGGGCATTTTCCTACTTTATGTTTTGGATGATAATGACAACCCTTTGTGGTCTAATCGTATGCTATATGTTTCAGGTTCTCAATGCTTAGGCTTACATCGGATTGCTATTGCCTCTCGAAGGAAAAGATCGAAGACGTGTCCTCTAGGCTTTTATTTTCTTTGGTCGTAGAGTACCCGTACTATCAAGAGGGAATCCTCATTAGGAAGCTCTGGGGGAATCAGTTCACGTACATTTTCCTCACCCCTTCCTTGTCTTCCTCGGTTGTGTGTGAGAGAGAGAGTTCCCCCTGTCTTTCCCTCTTGTTTCTGCTCTTCCCAGCGGTTGTACCGCTCCCTGGAGCGGTTGTACCACTAGACCTTGACGCTCTCCAGCTTTGACCGAGCGATTGTACCGCTGCCTCCGGGCGGTGGTACCGCCACCTTGCTCAACAAAGGCTAGGATGGTTGTTCCGGCCATGCACTGCTCAAGTACCGCTCAAGGCTCTGTTCTGATGCGGTTCTCGGGCGATGGTGGCCCGGTTGATCTGGTCGATCCTCGTTGACCCGTACCACCAGTGGTCTGAGCGGTTCTTCCGCTCAGAACTTCACCGTCCAAGAGCTCAGAGCCATGCGGTTGTTCCGGTCTTGCACCGCTCAAGTACCGGTCTCGTCTCTATTTCGAGGCGGTAGTTGTGCGGTGGCTGGGCGGTTGGTCCGGTCATTCTCTTAACCGGTACCACTGCCTAGTGGCCCGATTGTACCGCCTGGTAGGGTTCTGCAGCTACACCGTGAGTCCCGGTTGTACCGGGACAAGGACTGGTTGTACCGCTGCGGGGCTGAAAGCGCAGCAACGGTTGGATTTTTAGGGTTGGTATTTAAGAGAGCTTCTCCCACCTACCACACTCACCTTTGACCCCTCTCACTCCACCATTAATGCACCTCAAGCTCTCTTGCCCGATCTCTCTCTCTAGCCACCCAAACTTATTGATTTGCTAGGGATTGAAGGAGGAGACCTAGATCTACACTTCCACCAAAGGATATTTGCTTCCCCCATACTTTCTTGTGTGGATTTTGTTACTCTTGGGTGTTTGAGCACCCTAGACGGTTGAGGTCACCTCGGAGCCATATTCCATTGTGGTGAAGCTTCGTGGTTTTGTTGGGAGCCTCCAATTAAGTTGTGGAGAGAGCCCCAACCTTGTTTGTAAAGGTTCGGTCGCCGCCTTCAAGGGCACCAATAGTGGAATCACGGCATCTCGCTTTGTGTGAGGGCGTGAGGAGAATACGGTGGCCCTAGTGGCTTCTTGGGGAGCATTGTGCCTCCACACCGCTCCAACGGAGACGTACTTCCTCTTAAAGGGAAGGAACTTCGGCAACACATCCTCGTCTCCACCGTCTCCACTCTTGGTTATCTCGTGCCCTTACTTGAGCAAGCTTATTTGTTTCATATCTCTTGCTTGCTTGTGTTCCTATCCTTGTTGCATCATATAGGTTGCTCACTTAGTTGCATATCTAGACAACCTACTTTGATGCAAAGTTTAAATTGTTAAAGAAAAGCTAAAAATTGTTAGTTGCCTATTCACCCCCCCTCTAGTCAACCATATCGATCCTTCCAATTGGTATCAGAGCCTCGTCTCTTTATTAAGGACTTTACCATCCAAAGAGTATGGTTGATACCGTAGACGGTGTGGAGGAACACTCCGGTGTGAATCCGGTCTCGTCTACGGGCGATGGGGGAACCTCGGTCTCTCGTGAGGAGTTCAATGTGGCCTTGGAGACATTGAAAACCTCCATGACGACCGAAGTTGAGAGCATGTTTACTAAATTTCTTGAGGAGCTTAAACTATCCACCGCACCGTTGAAAGTGGGTGATCCCGCCAACAAGGTGACGGATGCTATCCCCGACAAGGGGGAAGCTAGTAGTGAAAAGGCACCTTCTTCTAGTGGTAAGAATGGCACCGGCATCTTTGCCCATGTGGAACTACCACTTGTTTATGGTGGACCGATTCCTTCCACTCATTTGAATCATGCCGGTCCTCCTCCTAAGATTGTGAAAAATGAGGACTTTGATTCTTGGGTTTACCGCTTTAAACGTCATTTAAATCATGTGAACACTAACCTTTGGAGAATCATTGAAGAAGTTTTCTATCCACATGATCCAAGCAACTTCACTCCTCGAGAAGCCGCAGATAATCAATTCAATGAGAATGCTCTCTTCATCATTCAAGATGCAATTCCACCCGAAGACCTACCTCATCTTCGTCCCTTCGCCTTGGCCAAGGATGCATGGCATTGTGTTGTCTCTCTCTATCGGGGAGTGCAAGCATTCAACGCTCCAACTATGAAGTGGTACAAGATGAGGCCGATGAGTTTGTAATGAAAGAAGATGAAGAACCTCGTGAGCTTTATCGGAGAGTAACCAAACTCGCGGTCTCACTACGAGATCACGGGAGCAAGGACACGGATGACAATTGGATCAAGCGCAAATTACTCAATTCAATGATGCCCTATCACAAGGCCATGTCCTCCGTCATTCGTCAAAGATCGGACTTCCACACTTTGACCTCAAGCGAAGTGTTGGATGAGTTTGTGGCCATGAACATTCTGGACAAGACCGCCGACAATGCGGTGCTTCGTTCCCAAAGGGCAAAGAGGCCTAATCTTGCATTGAAGGCCAAGGTCTGCGTTGAAGAAGAAGAAGAGAAAGAAGAGGAGAGCAACCCCGATGATACGAAGTATGCATATCATGAACACATGGCACTTGCTTCAAGGCAATTTTGGAGCAAGAAAAACTCGAGGCCAAACTTTAGCAAAAACAACTCGAGTGGCACAAGGGGCAAGCAACGTGTAAGGACTTGCTACAATTGCGGCAACGTGAGTCATTTCGTTGCGGAATGCCCGTATGAGAAGAGGGAAGACAATGGTGGCAAGCTCATCTGAAAGGACAAGGCCAAGTCATTCCCCAACAAGAACAACTTCACCAAGAAGACTCCTCCCAAGGCTTTGGTTGTGCAAGAAGAGTACAATGAGGATGATGACGATGATGAAGATGATGAGTCGGTTGCCATGGCCTCCGTTGCCATTGCAACAACGTCACGGGTGTCTCTCTTCGACTCACCCAATGAGAGCATCACCTCCAAGTGCCTCATGGCTAAAGCCACCAACAAGGTAACCTCCAACATCAAAACTACCATCATTAATCATCCTTCCCCCACGGATATCATTAATGAACTTGAGGGAGCTAATGTGGAGGCTAACGAGTTTGAGGCCTTTATGGGTAAACTCAAGGGAAAATCCAAGAAGCACTTTGTTGCTCTCTTGGAACAACTTGGTGAAGCCAATGACATGATCGAGGCTCACGAAGACACCATCTCTAAGATGGAAGGGCATAGTCGTGACTGCCGATGAGATTTCGGATCTTTCCAATGCTCTTGAGGAAGAGCGTGGTCTTCATTTGGCTCTTGAGGAGTCACACAACGTTGATCATGCTAAGTTAAAGAAAGATTATGAT